ATGCTAATCTGCAACAATTACATACATTTTCTATGATAATGATTATTCTGAAACAATAAATATTGTAGAGTACGTAACATTATTATCAGGATACCGCCGATTAGGATACCTAATTGCACATTCTTGCACTGCTTGTGTTTGACTATCATTACATTGGGCTAACACCCGATACATGTCGCAATATTCTTTCATAGAATAATTATTCATAATGCGAACTGACTGTGTCCGCAATGTGAAGTGAAATAAGTTGTAATTTGTAAACAAGTCATTCAACCGCAGTAGACTTATTATTGTTTACAAGTTATAATCTAATTGTAAACAGTAATAAGTCTACTGCGGTCGGATGACTTGTTTACAAATTACAACTTATTTCACTTCACATTGCGGACACAGTCAGTTCGCATTATGAATAATTATTCTATGAAAGAATATTGCGACATGTATCGGGTGTTAGCCCAATGTAATGATAGTCAAACACAAGCAGTGCAAGAATGTGCAATTAGGTATCCTAATCGGCGGTATCCTGATAATAATGTTACGTACTCTACAATATTTATTGTTTCAGAATAATCATTATCATAGAAAATGTATGTAATTGTTGCAGATTAGCATGTCCAGATCCAAGCTCGGTCATGCGTAGATCAAAATCGGTCTTTTTCAGGACCACTCAAAACGTAATACGTTGCTACAACTATCTTGTCACATTAAAGGAATAGACATTATAAGGAATAAAGGTACCTTCTGAAATTCAGTGACGTTCAGCGAGCGATTCTATCTCACTCAATTACATGCAGATAAACAGGGACACTACGACAATACTCTTAGTGTTATTAGCCTAGTGTAAGCAGGTCTTGCAGGCTGACTCGCGATGTCATCTACGCTCCGATTAAACGCGCTCTGATTGGTCGCATTACTGCAACTTCAACCTTGATTATCTCGAAATTTTGATATATGAAATAAAAAATGAAAATATACGTATTCCTTAGAATTTGACAAGGTGCAACGATTTTACTACAGTGCGTTTCATAACGAACATCCTGTATACACAATTAACAATACTACTGTTACGTATATCGACCTTCATTCCGAAACAGAAGAATAACGTAGCCGACAGGAAACATAATTGCAGACTCAGCATGTTACCCAGTGCATTGCCCGTGCTACCTACCCAGCTGGTTAGCCGAGTGCATTCCGAACGTCCTAACCGTACCTAGAGCATCAGCAAAAATCGACTATATAAGCAGCCAAAATCATGGCACTGACGCTCAGAAAATCATCCAGTTTCAGGCGTAAAAGATCGGACTGCACGTTGTCACTCGTGGCTCTAACCGTTAGAGTAGTAGATTCAATGTAATATTCGCAATCTGGCCTAGGTGCGGATTCGTTATTACCCCTAGGGAACAAGCTGGATCGGTTACCGGGCAAAATTGAGCTGCATAGACTAGTCTTTCCAAGTAACGCATATACTAGACAATTTTCTGTTCCACCAAATTTCTTTTGCCTTAACCTCACACACACAGTCAGGTTTTGTAATCCGATTTTCACAATATTTTTTATCCCAGTATTTCTCATAATCAAAACACTGTACACGACAACTAATTGAAAACTTCTAAATTGTTTGTAACAATTTATCGCAAATTCACATTTTACTCGCGTTTTAAATATCTACTACCCATCCTCAAACATTTCAGAGATTATCTATCCACGTTGGAATAGCAATGCGTGTTTCAACACCTCGCAATTCACTCAAATATTATTCACGTTACCTCCGGTCGTTTCTTTTCTTTCGGTTACTTCTAAATTTTTGTTATCAAATTTAAAGGCCTCGCTAGCCACTACGGCCTACGTAACACTACATATTAGACGCAATACTCAAGGCCCGTGGAGACCTCGAGCCAGAAGGCGGGAAGGAGTCTGCAGGAACAGTTTTGTTACAGTATATATACTATACATATAGAATTACCATAAAATATACGCATCAATTTTGTTTTGTAAAGTGGTTCTTTAGCTTACCCCTGTGAACCTTTTTCTCGGTCCAAGAAAATTTCTTTACGAGATTATTTATCATCTCAGCTGGTATAAAATGGTGCAAACACTCGTGAAGATTTTGTTCTATAACGAATTTTAAATAGCATTGCTGTAAAATTAACACTTCGTATAAATAAATCTATTTCCATTTATATTGCATATGTCTTCAACGAAATATTAATAATAATCTGTTGTCGGATCACGAGTTCGATGTTTTTTTGACAGGTTGAAAACAGTGAACTCTATCAAGATACTTATCGCTACGCAATAAATAGGCTAAGATCCTGATCAAAAGAACGAGGTTCGACTCATCGAGACTTATTTATCGAACGACCAGAGAACGGAATCAGACTCACAAGGACCGAAGCATTATTTATTTTTTTCATTTGGATGCTCATAAAGTAATACAATATGACATGGTACAATTGGACGATTCGAAAGAGGTACAACTTAAAAATAAGTCGGCCACTGTGAGGTTTAAATAGGTGGTCTAGGTAAAGTAGGTACAAATAAAGCGCTATGTAGAACTTTAAGGTATAGCGAGATACAATGAAGGAACAAAATTTTGACTTGGGTACTGTGAAGAATAACTTGCACAGAGCCGGCCTTTGAGACAGAGTTTCTACTTTGAAATCAAGTTTACGACGCGGTAATAGGAAGATGATATTTCAACAGGTTCAAATGCTAGATCATTCAAAATTAAAAACGGATTTTATGGACTGACGTTTAATTTTCATTTTTCACAATTTAAACCTTCATCCTGGAACTTTTTGACGGTATCACTCGCTATTTGATTCCTTGAAGTAAAGTATCGGTGCTTCAGACAGGAGACGAACGAAACAGGCGATATACTATGTATTTGCATTGTTCTGTTGTTTTACCAGTTAAGATGGGAAACGACTCGAGAGAGTGTTGTCGGTAGACATACAGAGAAAGTAGGTGGTTATCTATGTGCAGTAAAATATTGTATTATATGTATATTCAAAATATACGTAATATATAATCAAAAATATATTTGTTACTATATTCAACCTATGACTTTTTCGTGGGGGAAGATTTCGCTCGATCGATAAACGTACGTTACAAAATACTGTCCAGAATAAAATTGTATTTATTGTCTAGGTAAAAGATGGATACCATGGGATCTATTGAATAGACCCACCAAGAATTCTGATACCAAACGTTATCTAATCGTTATCATAAATATGAGTAATGCTACGATAATGTACAATGCCTTTATTAGTCAACCCGTTACCTCTGTACCGAGTATCTGTTACGCATTTCGCTTTCTCATAAGAATTTTACATTCTTTTTAAGGGGTAAGCAGTGTTCAAACAAGTTAATTTTTGGAAATTTATTTCGGAAAAACTACAAATGCAATATTTTTAATTTTTAATATATTTTTATGTACAATTTAAGGAGTCTGTGTAAAAATTTTCATAGAAAAAATATTGTAATTTCCACACGTTATTCTTCTTCGCGTCGACTGATGTTTTCTGCGCGCAATCGGTCTGTGTAAACGATTTCGCAAACATGGTTGGTGTGAATCAAAAATAAAAAATTTCCTCATTAACTACATGGTATTAGCTATGGCGTGACGGAGCTGTTTTTTTTGTGTTAGGTTATGAGAAAAAAATTCCTGAACTTTTTCCGTCATTTTTGGAGCTATAATGCGTATTATTATTATTATTAATAAACATTGCAAAAAAACGTATTGACAAAATCGTTCGTCACGCCTCAACTTGTATTCTTCTGAACATGCGTACTAAATTTCAAGTCGATTCAACAATCACAGCCCGAGATATCGCGTACACCGTTTTGAAAAACATAGTTTCGAGAAAAATGCGTTTCAAGTTTGAGCACCAGTCGTCTACCTGCGCGTCAAATTCTTCCTTCGGTACAAACGCTATAACTCAAAAAATACTTCGAATATCTACATGGAACCTTTTGCATATTATTCTAAACACTTCAAATTATTCTTTAAAGAGAAAAAGAAATTTTGAAAATTTGAAAATTTCACAGTAATCTAACCCCTTAAATATGTAAGTGAAAAAATGAGTAGACCGTCACCTATGGACTAACAATATCAATATATTCACCACCTCAAGGTAACTGTAATAATTTCTTCAGATAAATGGAACTGATTTGGAGTAGAGGCAACTACTAAATAACGTAATTCTATAGTATCGTAATGCTGTACTTATTTCTCTTACTGTCTATCCGCAGTTAATGTGACTATTATTTCTGGAGGAACTAATCTCGGGCACAAGTCATACACGCTCATGTGTCCGAATTGCAGAATTAATATTAACACGCATACAGAGTGTATCAGCCCAGATGTACGTTTGAGATTTGCGGTGAAACGGTGTACAATTTCGAAAATCTGATGTCACAACAATTGAATATTTTTTGATTGCGCATCGAATGGGCATATTATTATTGTTCGGTTAACTTTCGGTCGCAAATTGAATAATGGTTTTATTTTATGAGACCATACCCAAGCAACGACACATCACAGCACTGATATGAGTTCCTGAAGTCTTTTTCCTTTCTATACAGAGTGTATCAGCCCAGATGCACGTTTGAGATTTGCGGTGAAACGGTGCACAATTTCGAAAATCTGATGTCACAACCATTGAATATTTTTTGATTGCGCATCGAATGGGCATTTTATTATTGTTCGGTTAACTTCCGGTCGCAAATAAAAAAAGTTATCTAAGCCATTTCAAATGATATTGAAAAAAGTTAAATGCAAAAGTTGTAGAGCAAGAAAAAATAACAGAGATGAAAAAAAATTCGGACGGATTGCACACATAATAAGAGAGATATTTGCGTCCGAAATTTTTTTTCATCTCTATGATTTTTTCTTGCTCTACAACTTTTGCATTTAACTTTTTTCAATATCATTTGAAATGGCTTAGATAACTTTTTTTATTTGCGACCGGAAGTTAACCGAACAATAATAAAATGCCCATTCGATGCGCAATCAAAAAATATTCAATGGTTGTGACATCAGATTTTCGAAATTGTGCACCGTTTCACCGCAAATCTCAAACGTGCATCTGGGCTGATACACTCTGTATAGAAAGGAAAAAGACTTCAGGAACTCATATCAGTGCTGTGATGTGTCGTTGCTTGGGTATGGTCTCATAAAATAAAACCATTATTCATTCTTTTTGTATCCTATAAACAGTCCAATTTTCATAAATGTCTGCAAGTAAAAAGCTTGATCTTCGGATGATTAATACTATCTTATGTTCCTATTTGCAGATATTGGTTCTGTTTCCTATGTCCATATTGCTGCGGCTGCTGTTATAGATCAAATCATTCGGTCCTCGATGTAATTCTTTCCTTGGAAGCTATTCATAAAAGGACGGCATTCAGGTGTCGCAAGGAATAATAACAGCAGCAGATAACATATACAGGGTGATCCATAAAAAACGATACACTTACATATCTCTATTGGTTGGGAAGATTGGAAATCTTTTCAAGATATAATTTTTATGATGTTGACAGTCGAAGCTGATGCAAAAACAGGTATTTTCCAAGGTCAGTCTTTTGGAGTTATTAAGGGCTTCTGTTTTTGAGGATATAACAATGCGTATCGTATCTAAATCGTTGGAAGTTACTTTATTATATTCATTCTTTTTACACAAGGTAATTTATACATGAAAACTAACGTGCATTACTCAAAAGGACATAGAGTGATGCAGCGGGCATGCGTCAAACACAATAGAAACACTAGTAAGCCGCTACTTGATGTAACTGCTAATCCAATTAGTCTAATTAAAATATGAAATCTAAATTCTACGTTAATACCTGGGGATAACAAAAAGCGTTATCTCCATTAAAAATAACGTATTCCTCTCGAAGATATAAGCAGCGGCTTCTTCCAAGAAAAACTAATCCACAAAAAGTTCAGCTCCTAACGTCATTTTGATTAGTAGCTGTTTGAGCTCGCCACGGTCCTTTCCAGGTCTAAGGAATCATTGTGATATTCCTTAGTATCCTATGATACTAATCCTATGACAATTTTATCCCTAAATAAAATAATTAAAGAACCGAAAATTTATAATTCCCTAAAACCTGACAAAGACTGTTCCCTCTGCCAATCTGCCGTTCCGATTTCTTTAAAATATGGACAAAATACATCGCAGTATTGAAGTACAAAGCCATGTTAATCTAAGCTAACTATTTACAAACCTATCACCTAGCAGAAAACGATTTTTGTTCTAAACTCACATGCTCGTTGACGATATTTTTATAATTAAAACGCCATCAGAATCAATAATAATATAGACATCAGTAAAATTAAAAAATCAATAGCCTCACTTGATTAAATGTGAGGCGAAAAATTGCAAATATGAGTATACGCATACGAGTTACTTACAAGGAAACATTCCCAAATGGCCCACCCCGATTTTGATCATTTTTGTATATGTTGTAGAACTCGAAAATCTAAGGGATACGTCTTTTTTTTATCGGCAGAGATTGATATTTAGAGGGTGACACTATCCCTCAAAGTTTGGCAAAAAATTGACAGTACTTTTTTTTTTCATAGAAGTACTCGACGGATTTCAATGAAACTTGGTATGAATATATCTCGTGTAAGTAGGATCCAATAACGATACCGACTGACACGGGTGCGCTCCTTTAAAGACGTAAACTACCCTTAATAAACTAGAAACTTAATAAGAACTGTGTTTCTAATTAACGAAATTTTGATGTCTACGTGATGAATGTTTGAATAAGATGATTAGACGTGCTCTGATAGAGAAAATGTATTACATGTACTGCCTGTCTTTGAAATATATTTACCTTTTTAAATAATGATTTTTGGAAGAAAAGCAAAAATATGTAAACTCTTATATTATGTGAGCATTATTGTCATGCAATTCTAATTTTAATCGGATTATTTGTCTCCAAAATATTTTATAAACAATTTTTTTAAGTGTAGTTTACCCCTTTAAAGGAGCGCACCCGTGTCAGTCGGTATCGTTATTGGATCCTACTAACACGAGATATATTCATACCAAGTTTCATTGAAATCCGTCGAGTACTTCTATGAAAAAAAAAAGTATTGTCAATTTTTTGCCAAACTTTGAGGGGCAGTTTCACCCTCTAAATATCAATCTCTGCCGATAAAAAAAAGACGTATCCCTTAGATTTTCGAGTTCTAAAATGTTACGTAGGCCGTAGTGGCTAGCGAGGCCTTTAAATTTGATAACAAAAATTTAGAAGTAACCGAAAGAAAAGAAACGACCGGAAGTAACGTGAATAATATTTGAGTGAATTCCGAGCGGTAAGAATGCACTCAATGGTGGGTTCGCTGCTCGTTTAAAGTGTTGAAACACGCCTTGCTATTCCAACGTGGATAGATATTCTCTGAAATGTTGAGGATGGGTAACAGATATTTAAACCGCGAGTAAAATGTGAACTTGCGATATATTGTTACAAATAACTTAGAAGCTTTCAATTAATTGTCGTGTACAATGTTTTGATTATGAGAAATACTGGGATAAAAAAAAATGGTAAAATCGGATTACAAAACCTGACTGTGCGTGAGGTTAAGGCAAAAAGAAATTTGGCGGAACAGAAAATTGTCTAGTATATGCGTTACTTGGAAAGACTAGTCTATGCAGCTCAATTTTGCCCGGTAACCGATCCAGCTTGTTCCCTAGGGTATGTAATAACGAATCCGTATCTAGGCCAGATTAAAGCCACGAGTGACAATGTGCAGTCCAATCTTTTACGCGTGAAACTGAATGATTTTCTGAGCGTCAGTGCCATGATTTTGGCTGCTTATATAGTCGATTTTTGCTGATGCTCTAGGTATGGTTAGGACGTTAGGAATGCACTCGGCTAGCCAGCTGGGTAGGTGACACAGGCAGTGCACTGGGTGACGTGCTGAGTCTGCAATTATACTTCCTGTCGGCTACTTAATTATTCTGTTTCGGAGTGAAGGTCGATATACGTAACAACAAAATATACAAAATTGATCGAAATCGGGGTCGGTCACCTGGGAATGTTTCCTTGATAGTATTTCAAACGATGTAAACAGAATTCTATACTCATTCTGCAGTGTCGACAAAAAAATTGTCAATGGTTTATCAACCTTTACGTGGTTTACGTCTTACGTCTTAATTCGAAAAGCCAACAATTGATAGTGAACATTTGTTATAATAATAAATTAAATTAAACTTGCCAATATATAATTTATTTAAAATTATCAAAATCCCAAGTAAGATCTTTGATCCCTTTCATAAATTAATTGAAGATGTAAAAATTGTGTATTCCGGCAGAAGGTCTACCGCTTAGGCCCCAATCACCCAGACAACCCATATCGTGCAAAAGTTATCTTTAAGACGTCTAATGGCACAAAAATTGTCTTTAAGACATCTTAAAGAAGACTGATAGACATGTGTATTATCTGGGCAAAAGATTAATTTTTAGTATTCTTTTTAATGTTCTTGATCTACTTGTCAAAAATCCTTTTCGCGATGTTCTTTTCTAACAAAACCAAATCCCTACCAAATTTCAGTTGAATCAAAAGTAGTGGCTTTTTGGATATTCAGCCCCGAACAAATTTATCGTTGGGCGTTGTCCTTAATATTAAAAACGCTTAAAGACTCAAGAATGATCGATAGATTGTATCAGAGTGATAATAGCACAATCAGTTCATTGAAATACTAAACCTCACTAGCACAGAGTCGAGCAGTGTTATCCAGCTATTCGAGTAACAGGCAGTTTCAAAGCTCACGCGAAATACATTTACTGTTTTTATTGGTTAGGACATATGCAAAAAGAAGATGTGCAACGAATTTCCCAAGAAAGGTCTACTGAAGAGGAAAGGCAAGCACCTCCATACACACCATACTGGATGCCGAGCGCTTACTCAGGAATGACATCACCACCACAACTGGGGCCGCAGCCTCCGCCACCACAGTACAGTCCATATCCCGACGCTGTGAATGGCATTCCTGGTTCGTATGCGATTGTGTAACTGCTTAAAAGTACTTTAATATTATGCTAGAAATTTTTTACAAATATTTATAATATACAAGAAGACCTGGCGAACGTTGTTCTGCCATATAAATTATTTCTAGCCAATATTTTGGTTGTTAAATAAAAAATAACGAATGTATTGTAAGTGTGTGGGGATGGGATCTATGACAAAAAAAGGAATTGAGCACTGTAAACGATGATCGCCGATAAAAACAAAAAAACACCAACCATTCATTTTCTCAATTCAATGTATTTCATTAACGTAACGGATATATTCATTGCTAAGACGGCTAAATGTATAACTGCTGGGTCCCGTTCATGAATTTGGAAACCAAAAATACGCCAGACAGCTTCATTGGAGCTGATGTACCGGCCCATTTGGTAGCGCATTATTTCGTCGTTGTCATTTAATCGAGGAGCATTCACATCGGTATTTTGAATTTGAAACACAGCCATATCGCTGCCTTTATTCACATACTTGCAAATGTATTTGATGCTCTTCACCGAACTGCAGAACTCAACATTAATATGAGCATTGTATGTTTTGCTCAGCAGAGGCGAATATGGTACCACCCAACGATTATCAATGTCAATGTCTGCGTTGTTGATATTTAGCGTAAATGATTGTCCGCCATTATCAGTATTTCTACGACGATATATTGGATAAACGTCGACATTTGTGATCGTGTCGTTGGTGAAATCTTTAAGAAAACGCTTTGTACATTTTCCATCTGCCATGCAAGGGGATCAACGATTCAGATCACCGCATGGGCCATGAATCATGTTTGTGGTAACAATATCGAACAGTAATTGATCAGTAGACGGATCTGGAATTTCCGCGGATATTACACTATCGATTTCCTCAGGGCGTATTTTGTCGACTAACCAAATCAAAATGTGTGCATGAGGTAATCCTCGCTTTTGCCATTCAACCGAATACATCGAGCAACGTGTGGGATCGAATACGTGTAATTTTGTAAGCTGAATTTTGAAGCTCATTAAAGACTTCAATTTTTGTTTGAATACACGTGCTATATGTCATCACGATGTATTGCATTTTGGCCTGGCAATAGCAAAGATGTAATCTCCTGCCACTTTGGATTACATGTAAACGTGATAAATAAACACGGTCGTCCGTACTCGCGCACGAAAGTCATAGCATCCTGTATGTATTCTTGCATATGACGTGAACTGCCTACGTACGATAATGGTAGAATGATAGAGTTACCAATTTCGGCGGTATCGGCGTCGCTCATGATAGCGTCTCGCAAGTGAATGTATTCTTCCGCACGTAGCTTCTGTTGATTGTGTCGTCATTCGCAGTCATTCGCTCTCTATCTTCGCGTACATGTCGATTATGAATTGTTGGCACAGCTCACGACATCACAGAATGACGTTGTCCTGACCGCGTCGAATTATCATACGATACGCATAAAAATCCATCGAGCTCACTTTCTTGTTTGTTTCGGCTCCTGTAACAACATATTCATAAATATTAATTCAAAATGAGTAATGATGTTCATAATGAATGAATTACCTGTGTCGGGATCTCGTTGTTTAATGTTTATGCAGTATCCGTCTTGACCCTTCCAGAAAATTAGCAGATATTGGAGAGCGTGGTATGAACGGTGTGTGTCGGAGATGAACTCCAGATTATTGTTTCTTCTTCGAATTCTCGCGTCGATGTGCGGTCGCCAACCATGATTCCAGCAACGTCGTCAACAACAGGCGCATTGAATCTACGCACGTGCTCTCCAGCTGCTGTTTTATCACGATTGATGACAATAGCTTGATTGTCACTTTGCAATTCGTGCATGTATGATTTGAAGAATTTCAATAATTCATTGTGCTCATTCAACAGGGCGTCCAGTTCGCCGACGATGTGCCTGGCATTAGGCAAATTGAGGTTATTGTAGCCGCAACGTGCATCCAAACGATTGATGTCCTCACCTCCCATGAAGTAGATTTGTAAAAATTTATGTGGTTCGTTTGGCATTGACAGCAATGAGCCTACTTTATGGTACACTTGGCCTTTGATTTTGAATGTTGAATTGTATTATTGACCATTTGCTGCAGTATTGTGAACTATTTCTGTTGCTCCGAACGAAGTCATTTGGAAGCATGAATTGAATGTGTGAATGGACTTCAGGAACAGGTTTGAATCTGGATCTGTGCCGATGAGCAAGCCGTTCAATGGTTCTGGTGGTGTCTTAATTTCTGGTAGTTACACTTTTCCTGAAGCGCAACACATCCCGGCTGACTCATGTTTAAATTTGAGCGCATGACAATGGGGCCATTCTTTGCCCATAGCACCAATCAGCACATTCGGATGAGTGGAATATTCAATATCTGGCTCGTACTCGAATGCGAGACAAAGGAACGAAGCGGATGTAAATACTCGATGTACTTGTTGGCGTTGTCGGTCATTTACTCAGCGTGTGTTAACTACGAACCGGCGCGCTTGTCTCCGTTCCAATTGTCGTTGCTGATTTCGTTCAGCTCGTGCCTCTTGTGATTGAGATGCACGCAATTGCGACATGCTCACATGCACATTTTGTTATCTTGTTGGATTTGTTCGTCTGTTCTTTCTACTCTACTATTGCTCATGTTTGTTGCTTTATTCGTTCGACAGCCCAAATGGGTCCCCTTGCGTCTTGCTGGCATTGTTCACTGTAAAACATACACAAACAAATAGACAAAATTGTTTTACTTACTGATGAAAAACGGTATACCGATAATGTAATTGTTCTTTTAGTATTTTACCAACCTTTTTACAATCATAATACGCGTATACATATATTTCTGATAAATCAAAATTGACATTTCATGATTGAAATGTCAAAATGACGTGCGTGCGTGACGCATGCGTGGATAAAAGTTCGATGAGGCGGACGTAGCGCCATCTATCATTCAACAACATAAATAATTTCGTTCTGCTTGAAATACAAACGACGATTAAATTATTTGGATATTGCTCATAAAAAAATACTAAAATCGCGTATAAGATTATCGCGTATTATGAAATGGAAAAGTGGGGGTAGCATTGTGAAAATTTGAAGTTATAAGTATTTTCTGATGCCAAATAAAAAAAAATACAACAAAAAAATGTTTGTCAAAAATATACAAAAAATTTTTCTGGATAAGGACATCCTAATCACCTTGCGGTATAAAATATACTTTACGACCTATTCTCATTACCAAATATACATAAAAAATTTCATAAAAATCGGTCGAGCCGTTTCGGAGGAGTGCGACCACAAACACCGTGACACGATATTTTTATATAGATAGATTCACCAAATACTTTCATGCTACTGCCGACTTATTATTTTCGAAAAGCTGCTTATAAAGCTTAGATTTTTTCAATGTAACAAACTTATATTCAATATATTAAAAAAACTCGTTTAAAGTAGATATGCTTAAAATTTATTTTTCCTTTGAATCAATAATTATGTATTTAGGATGTTCCACTGTTCACGTTATTTCCATTGCGTCATCTCTGGGACCCGAACCGACTTCGATGTTTTGTCCACATTGTAGGATGTCGATTACAACGAAAACTTCATGCTTCCCATCATGTACGAATCATTGCTGCGCATTCTTTTTCTGTTTGATCGGGTCAGTATTTTTTGATTATTATACTTTTAATCTTTTAATAAATAAATACACATTGAACAGATGTTTATTTTCAGATTGTGGCCATGTATGCCATTTGCATACTGCTGTTTCAACAATATCATTCATCATTGTCCTAACTGTAAGAGTAACATTGGAGTTTATGCGCCATAAATCGAAAGTTTTTAATACTTGTATTCGTCAGGAGATATTGACGAGTGTTTTGTTCTTCTATGACTAGATGAGAAATAAATAGAACTTTCTTTTAATTAATTTCTATTTTGTATTTTGTATATAATAATTACCTTGGGCATAGTACACTGAGGAAAAAATTAGTTGGTTCAACTAAATACGTGCAATTGAATCACAATTTAAGTGTTCAAACTATAAGATAATTATTTCAAAGACGAAGCTAATGATTCAACAACGCAAATATCAAATATATGTATATGTATGTCTCATTTCACTAATGTGAGTTATTTGAATTAATTAATTGAAACTGTAAGGTTCGGGCTATATAGTTGTCAGGGATTAGTAGTTCTTGGGCCTATCTTGGTGCATGTTTGGTTGCGGATTCGGTCCACCGTTAGCTCGCAACAACGCGAGCTTTGCTCAGCGACTCCTAATTCTCGCCTCGCCACGTCACGTTCTCTGCGTAGGAGATCATTTTCTATCTGTAGAAGGTCTCTTCTACATTGTTACTCTTCTATTTCAGCCACCTTATCGTCAAGGATCTCCTCCTCTCGCCTCCTTTCTCCCGAGGGATCATATTCCATTAGACAAGTGTTTCCATTATTCCATTAATTCGTTTTTGTTTCCGTTTATCGTTAAACAGAATTCTTGGAGTTTGGCTTTCAATTCGTTTACCGTAAATGCATGAGCCTCTCTCACCACCATTGTGAATGTTATTCGATCACCGAGACGCAAACAAATACAATACAGTCTTAGCCCAACGAGAGCCCACATGGTCTACCGATCAATATTCAAAATTATTTCACGCACTGCTTTTTATTTCGGAGCACCAACTTTGTCACTAACCTTGATTTTCGGGCAGCAGTCTGTCCTTTGTCAACTTATTGCTTATCACGAGAGAGTAACAGAACGACGTTCGGCTCATGTAAACAACGCTACTGTAGTGAATGTCCACAACAGATCACGCAAACACGGATACGTCGTGAAAAAGACCTCGTCGCTTCCTCAAATATGGCTCCAGGAAGAGAGAATTTCTCCAAGGTCAACTGCAGTCACTGTGCGCAAATTTCTTATTCTTTAATCCCGAAATCACTAAATGTCCATGCTGACCGCTAACAATGTCCGAGTCCCAACGGATGTCTTCCACTTCAAACCAGAGTTCCCGTGCACAGTATGCCGGCTCAAATTCTCTTGATCAACACCAAAAACACTCGGCACGGTAGCACGAAGCTCGAAATGTCCCAACGATTCACTCAATAATATTCGAACAAATACACGAACAAAATGAGGACCGTTAACAGATTTTGTCATGTATCGTTGCGAACCAAAATTACAAAAACGGCCGTGATCGTAGAGACACTTCCCGTCTCGATGCCACTCGAAACCGACAAATTCAAAATGATTTCCAAACGAGTCCGGCAACAAATTCCACTTTTGAGAGCTTGAAGTTGACTATCCCACTTCTGAATTATAAAGTACGGGCTATATAGTTCTCAGGGACTATTAGTTATAAATAAAAGACAGGGGTAATATATACAGGGTGTGTCTTAAGCCTTGGACAAGAGACATACCGTTAGATCCGGCGTGAAAAAATACAAATATTGGCGTTAACAAAAATCAAAAATTTTAGTTAGTTTAATAATTATTACGGATTAAAGTAAGCCAATCATAAGCGCGTGAGAACTGGTAACTCCTCCTCCTCCTACTGGGGACAGAACCGTTAGATCCGGCGTGAGATAATAAAAATATTGGCGTTAACAAAAATCAAAAATTTTAATTAGTTTATTAATTATTACGGATTAAAGTAAGCCAATCATAAGCGCGTGAGAACTGGCAACTCCTACTCAGTCTCCTTCCATTGGGGACAGCCAATCATTTACTTCCCGACAAAAAACATTTTACACTATTCTTTTGTTTATTTGCATTACTCTTTTGTTTATTTACGTTACTATTTTACGTATCCACCGGTCACTGTTTTTGTGGGGAAATAAATGATTGGCTGTCCCCAATGGGCGGAGACTGAGGAGGAGTTACCAGTTTTCACGCGCTTATGATTGGCTTACTTTAATCTTTAATAATTAATAAACTAATTAAAATTTTTTATTTTTGTTAACGCCAATATTTTTATTTTTTCACGCCAGATCTAACGGTATGTCTCTTGTCCGGGGCTTAAGACACACCCTATATATCGTATTTTATATTTTTAGAGAGGTAATTGTGTACTATACAATTTCAAAGTTCACGCCGGACTCCCCTCGTCGGGCACCACAGTGATGTCATCGAATTGAAACGTAGTGGGGATAATTTTCGGGAGTCGTCTTTATCCAATTGAATTTATTCCTCCCATTAAAAACAAAGAACGTTTTTTATTACGTAAAATAGAGTAGATTTGTCTCGAAACAAATATGCAATTGCTTGAATGTGTAGCAGAGTATGGTTAAGCCAATTAAATCTGTTTGTTTCATTTAAGCTGCTGCTGCGTAGTTGTGATGAACATTTCTTTCATTGAATTTTTGTTTTTGTCTTTAATTAAGGATTAGATTTATTAATACCTTTATTGTTTCAGAAAATAAATTAGTGAAGTAAAACAATATTTTCGTTGTTGACAGTAGCCACAAATGATAAGGTTAACCTCATATTTCATTGAATATCAACTAAAGTGTCTGAAAATCAACAACGAATCTGGTTTAAACTTGCTACCTGCCCTTAGGTTAATTCAGAGAATTTACATAATTCTTACAACTGTAGGACCAATAGTAAATATTTAGGGGGTTGGACAGTAACTCGAACTCTCGGGATTTAGGTTTTCGGGCAAATACTAATAATTGTACAATAAATATTATTGGGTTCTAATCGAAGGCAGCGGACTACAATTAACAAGCAATGGATAAATAGCAATAGAGAACTGCATATTTCGTTAATTTAACCTAAGACGTATTTCACCTAAACTAATAATAACTAGAATAGACTTCAACTTGTATGTTTCAGCAGAAGTATTTTTGTATGTTATTCAACAAATTTCTGGTTTACGTTAATTGATGTTTATTTGAATGTATCTCACATTAGTTTACTTTGAGGCATTCGGAATTTCAACCATTTATTTTAATCGTATAACCATAAACTTTCTTAGTTAATACATTCAAAAATAGAATTAAATTGAGAAAATAATTTCTTGCTGACATTTTTTTTCATAGTATAAATACTCGCAAAGTTTTATTTTATTATATGAACCGTTAATTCAACCATTTTTTTGTTCAATTGAACTAAACATTTTTGCATACCAAAGTAATATTTCATTTGTGACGTGATTTTTCGAATCACGGTCCCAAGGCGACTATACAGATAACGTTACTACCGATATAGATAACGTTCTCAATTTCTGGTTCCCTTCGGGTCGCCACCCTGCTCAGAAACTATGCTCTCGGGTTGATTCGTATAGTTATGTCAAGGCTCTCGTAAGGTATCGTTATTGTTTAGTTGAGGTCGAGGTGCTCGAATCTGCCGTGGGGAGATAGTCTCGACGTACCGAGTTGCCCGGCAGAGGAGAGTACCCGACGGAGACGTCTCCACGGACCGGCAGAAGCCCAGATGAAATACCGGCGCCCCGCTCGAGATGGGCAAAGGGCTGTAGAGCGGGCGGAGGTAGTTGTAATATGGTTAAGGGCAGAAGAGGAACCTCCTGCCCGAGTTAAGGATGTGGTGCCCAGCTGTCGCCCGATGCCCTGGGGTAGCGGCCGTGGAGGATCTCCAGCAGATATATACCGATTCGTTAAGGAACGCTCTCGACTTGGTTTAAAGGGACGACTCGAAGGAGATAGAAGAGTTATCGGGTA